GCCGCCGGTTGGTGCGTTGCGGACCGTTTTGGTGGATTTCAGAGAAATCCCCTGCTATTCAAAGGCCGAGGATCAGAATAGGTCTATTTGATTGATGATGGCAAAAGAAAGAAAGAAATCATTTTCTCCGGGCCAGCGAGTTACTCCTATCCTAATTTGGTTAATTTGCAAGTAATAAAAAAGGCTGCTTAATTGCTCCAATTAATGCGAAATGAAGAATAGTGTTTTGGGAACAATATGCATCCAGCTAAATCCACATATGTTGCATATGGTTCAAATATATACTCTTCGCTTTTAAAAATATACACTTCTCGGATAATGTACATCAGGACAAAGAATGGTGTGATTGCAACTTCTCGTCACGACGAAGAGGATGTTATACATGGCCACTTCTCGGAGGTCCAGAGACGATGATTGCCTCGCTCTGGACCTGCCCTTCACTGAAGACGAAATTTGCCGGCCGATCAAGCCCTTCACAGGGAAGTTTTTCAGATATTGGTGGGGCACGATCAAGGTGACATTATGCGCGTCATGGACAAGTTCTTCCACATGAATGATGTTGGTTTCGTGGAGCTCAACATGGTGAGGCTGGTTCTGCTTCCAAAGAAAGAAAACACTGATGAAATCGGGCACTTCAAACCAATAAGCCTGGTGCACTCTGTTGCAAAACTCATCTCTAAAATTCTATCGATGCGCCTTTCTGACAAGATGAACGAGTTGATCTCATGTGTTCAAGGTGCTTTCTTTCTATCCAAGAGCATCCATGACAATTATCTTCATGTCTGAAATGTCGTCTGAGCCATGCATTGCAAAAGGAAGACACTACTGCTATTCAAAATGGATATTGCTCGTGCTTTTGACGCGGTGTCTTGGGAGTACTTGCTCGAGCTGCTTCGGCTATAGGTTTCAGTCAGCGTTGGAGAAACTGGGTTGTTACCATGTTATGCACTGTATCTTCCGCCATCAGCCTTAATGGTGTTGACGGCTCCCATATTGCGCACCGGAGGGGCCTTAGGCAGGGCAGGCCCACTATCGCAGTTTGTTTTTATCCTGGTGATCGACCCCCTATAGCACATCCTCCGCCTCACTGTTGAGCGTGGCAAGCTCTCTCCTCTGCCTGGGAGGGGGCCCAATCCGCGGGTCAGCCTCTATGCTGATGACGCAATTGTCTTCTTCAACCGAGTGAAGACAGAGACCGACACATTGCTACAGATTTTGACGGGTTTTGGTCATGTCTCTGGTCTATGCACAAACCCCTCAAAATCATTTGTAGCACCCATCCGCTGCCAGGAGCTGAGCCTTGACGACATCCTGCAGGGTTTGGGGGGTCAGCGTGTACGGTTCTGAAAGCACATTCGCTCCCTGATAACCCACAAGTATAGGGATCGCAACAGTTTTTGAGGGTAGAGTATTCAACCCAAATTTATTGATTCGACACAAGGGGAACCAAAGAATATTCTCAAGTATTAACAGTTGAGTTGTCAATTCAATCACATCTGTAAGACTTAATATCTACAGCAAAGTATTTAGTAGCAAAGTAATATGGAAGTAACAGTAATGGTGGCAAAAGTAACAATAGTAGTTTTTGTAGCAATCGTAACAGTGGCAACGGAAAAGTAACTAAGCAAAGATCAATATGTGAAAAGCTTGTAGGCAATGGATCAGTGATGGATAATTATGTCGGATGCGATTCCTCATGCAACAGTTACAACATAGGGTGACACAGAACTAGCTCCAGTTCATCAATATAATGTAGGCATGTATTCCGAATATAGTCATGCGTGCTTATGGAAAAGAACTTGCATGACATCTTTTGTCCTATCCTCCCGTGGCAGCGGGGTCCTATTGGAAACTAAGGGATATTAAGGCCTCCTTTTAGTAGAGTGCCGGACCAAAGCATTAACACTTAGTGAATACATGAACTCCTCAAACTACGGTCATCATCGCGAGTGGTCCTGATTATTGTCACTTCGGGGTTACCGGATCATAACACATAGTAGGTGACTATTGACTTACAAAATAGTATCAAGAACTCACATATATTCATGAAAACATAATAGGGTCAGATCTGAAATCATGTAACTCGGGCCCTAGTGACAAGCATTAAGCATATCAAAGTCATAGCAACATCAATCTTAGAACATAATGGATACTAGGGATCAAACCCTAACAAAACTAACTCGATTACATGGTAAATCTCATCCAACCCATCACTGTCCAGCAAGCCTACAATGGAATTACTCACGCACGGCGGTGAACATCATGAAATTGGTGATGGAGGAAGGTTGATGATGACGATGGCGACGGATTCCCCTCTCTGGAGCCCCGAACGGACTCCAGATTAGCCCTCCCGAGAGAGATTAGGGCTTGGAGGCAGCTCCGTATTGTAAAGCACGATGAATCCTTCTCTCTGATTTTTCCCTCCTCGAACGTGAATATATAGAGTTGGACTTGACGTCGGTGGAGCCTCAGGGGGTCCACGAGGCAGGGGGGCGCACCCTAGGGGGGAGCCCTACACCCTCGTGGACAGGGTATGGACCCCCTTACGCTGGTTCTTTCGCCAATATTTTTTATAAATTCCAAAACGTGTCTCCGTTGATTTTCAGGTCATTCTGAGAATTTTTATTTCTGCACAAGAATAACACCATGGCAATTATGTTGAAAACAGCGTCAGTCCAGGTTAATTCCATTTAAATCATGCAAGTTAGAGTCCAAAACAATGTCAAAAGTGTTTGGAACAGTAGATACGTTGGAGACGTATCAACTCCCCCAAGCTTAAATCTTTGCTTGTCATCAAGTAATTCAGTTGACAAACTGAAAGTGATAAAGAAAAACTTTTACAAACTCTGTTTGATCTTGTTGTTGCAAAGTTTTCAGCAAAGATTATGAACTAACCATATTCACAATAACATTTAGGTCTCATGTTTACTCATATCAATGGCATAATCAACTAGCGAGCAATAATAATCAATCTCGGATGACAACACTTTCTCAAAACAATCATAATATGATATAACAAGGTGGTATCTTGCTAGCCCTTTCTGAGACCGCAAAACATAAATGCAGAGCACCCCTGAAGATCAAGGACTGAGTGGAAATTGTAATTCATGGTAAAGGAGATCCAGTCATAGTCATACTCAATGTAAATTAATAGCAATGCATGCAAATGAAAGCAGTGCTCTTCAACTGGTGCTTTTTAATAAGAGGATGATGACTCAACATAAAAGTAAATAGATAGGCCCTTCGTAGAGGGAAGTAGGAATTTGTAGAGGTGCCAAAGCTCGAGTTTTGAAACAGAGATGAATAATATTTTGAGTGCATTGTCAACATAACAACAAAGAGATCTCGATATCTTCCATGCTACACACATTATAGGCAGTTCCCAAACAGAATGGTAAAGTTTATACTCCCCCACCACCAACAAACATCAATCCATGGCTTGTCCGAAACAACGGGTGCCTCCAACTAAGAACAATCCTGGGGGAGTTTTGTTTGCAATTATTTTGATTTGAGCATGTGACTGGGTATCCCGGTTACCAGCCATTTTCTCGTGAATGATGAGCGGAGTCCACTCATCTTGAGAATAACCCACCTAGCATGGAAGATATAGACAACCCTAGTTGATACATGAGCTATTCGAGCATACAAAACATAATTTCATTTGAAGGTTTAGAGTTTGACACATACAAATTTACTTGGAACGGCAGGTAGATACCGCATATAGGAAGGTATGATGGACTCATATGGAATAACTTTGGGGTTTATGAAAGTGGATGCACAAGCAGTATTCCCGCTTAGTACAAGTGAAGACTAGAAAGAGACTGGGAAGCGACCAACTAGAGAGCGACAACAGTCATGAACATGCATTAAAATTAATCAACACTGAGTGCAAGCATGAGTAGGATATAATTCACCATGAACATAAATATCATGGAGGCTATGTTGATTTTGTTTCAACTACATGCGTGAACATGTGCCAAGTCAAGCCACTCGAATCGTTCAAAGGAGGATACCACCCTATCATACCACATCACAACTATTTTAATAGCATGTTAGCATGCAAGGTAAACCATTATAGACTCCTAGCTAATTAAGCATGGCATGAGCAATTATAATCTCTAATTGTCATTGCAAACATGTTTCATTCATAATAGGCTGAATCAGAAACGATGAACTAATCATATTTACAAAAACAAGATAGGTTGAGTTCATACCAGCTTCTCTCATCTCAATCGGTCCATCATATATCGTCATTATTGCCTTTCACTTGCACGACCGAACGGTGTGGATAATAATAATAGTGCACGTGCATTGGACTAAGCTGGAATCTGCAAGCATTTAATACAAGGGAGAAGACAAGGTAACATGGGCTCTTGGTTAGATCAACAATAAGGCATCTGAGAGCCACTCAACATTTTCATCATGGTCTTCTCCTCTCAACCCCCAAAGAACAAGAAAAGAAATAAAACTATTTACACGGGAAAGCTCCCAACAAGCGCAAAAGAAGAACGAGAAATCTTTTTGGGTTTCCTTTTAATTACTACTACTATAGGCATGGAAAGTAAGCTAGCTAAAAGCTATAACTATTTTTTTTGGTTTTTCTTAAGGTTTTTCAAACACA